CTCTTATAGAAATACCAAGAACAGTGAACGGCGTCGTTCGTCCCACCTCCCACCATGTTTCACCTACCCCCGTTCGAGTTGGTAGCTATGCAACTTTGACCCGCAACTTTCATCTACTTTCACTATTTTATTTTCTAATTATATTATTAATGATTAATTAATTAATTAATTAAAGAGAATTATATGTATATATAAATAAAACGGATAAAAAATGATAATAAAATAAATTGTTATTTTTCAGTTGGTCCAAAAATCTGGCTGCTTGGCCACGTTTTCAAGTTGCAACTGCGGCAATAATGATTTTTTTATTGCTAATCTTTATGAATTTTATTATTTTTAATAATTGTATTAATATTTTTTGACAGATGATTAATAACTAATAGTATTACTCTTATGTTTGTTATTTAATATATATATATATATAGCGCCTGTATCCCCGGATCTTTTCATCTGTGATCTGTGATTTTGTGGCCATAATTTTTCTGTGATTTGGTTAAAATTTGAGGTTTGCACTTGAAGACTTTTTTTTCTCCCTATCTTTTTGTTTTTGGGATTCACTCTGAGATAGTGTTGGTGGTTAACATGAACTTATGATGTTTGCTAATTGTTTTCCTAATCTGGCTAGATTTGTTCTGCATGTTGTGGTTTTTGTTGGAAATGAAGAGTGTATTTGCTATTTTTTCTGGGTTTGAGCTTCAGGGTTTGCTGATCTGGGTTTATGTTTATAGTTTTATATTGATTGACAACCCTTGTTGTTGTGGGGTGAGTTTGTTGGACTGTTGAATTCTTGTTAACACTGATTTGCTTGCGGCGGATACACTTTCGATTTGTTGGGTTACTCTTGTCTGTCTTTACTTTTAATTTTTTTAGAGGAATGTGCTGTAAGATCATGTGAAGTTGGCTGTCTTTCTGTAATTTTGGGTGAACAAATAATTGCTTTGGATTGCAACTCGATTCTGTACTTTTATTTGTATTTGGGCACTTTTTTGAATTTTGAGTTTTGAGATCGAAGCTCTTGCTGGATAATGGATGCAGCTTGTTTGGTTGTCGGGTTTTAGTAATAAGTACTATTCTTTTAGATTAATGAAGAGAACACACGAGCCTTAAGGTGCTCTGATGTCTGTATGGCATGATCGTAGGGTTCTTTTTCGATCTCACTTTTTAAAAGAAAGTTTGGTAATTTTTCTACCTTTTTATCGCTGAATATCTCTTAGACGACTCCCTTTCTTCCTTTCCATACATTATATATTATTGGAATTTGTTCAAGATCGCTCTGCTCGGTAGAAGTTTAATTTGTTCAACAATCAGGCTCTAATTCTCTTTAGTCACCGTAGTTTATAGCATTTTTTTGTTTTCCTTCAATTTGAAATTCACTCCAGCTTTTGTGTCATCGTTCTTATTATTGCATTGGATTTCAATCATTGAGCAGGATAACAATTATGGCTCAACCCTCAACAAGAATAGGCCTCGCTGGACTGGCTGTTATGGGCCAAAATCTAGCACTCAATATTGCTGAGAAAGGCTTTCCCATTTCTGTTTATAACCGAACCACATCCAAGGTCGATGAGACTGTAGAACGAGCAAAAGTGGAGGGAAATCTTCCAGTTTATGGCTACCATGATCCTGAAGCTTTTGTTCATTCCATTCAAAAGCCTAGGGTGATTATAATGCTAGTTAAGGCTGGGGCACCTGTTGACCAAACCATTAAGACCCTGTCTGCGTTCATGGAAAAAGGTGACTGTATAATTGATGGTGGCAATGAATGGTATGAGAACACTGAAAGAAGAGAGAAAGCAGTGGCTGAATTGGGTTTGCTCTACCTTGGGATGGNTTCCATACATTATATATTATTGGAATTTGTTCAAGATCGCTCTGCTCGGTAGAAGTTTAATTTGTTCAACAATCAGGCTCTAATTCTCTTTAGTCACCGTAGTTTATAGCATTTTTTTGTTTTCCTTCAATTTGAAATTCACTCCAGCTTTTGTGTCATCGTTCTTATTATTGCATTGGATTTCAATCATTGAGCAGGATAACAATTATGGCTCAACCCTCAACAAGAATAGGCCTCGCTGGACTGGCTGTTATGGGCCAAAATCTAGCACTCAATATTGCTGAGAAAGGCTTTCCCATTTCTGTTTATAACCGAACCACATCCAAGGTCGATGAGACTGTAGAACGAGCAAAAGTGGAGGGAAATCTTCCAGTTTATGGCTACCATGATCCTGAAGCTTTTGTTCATTCCATTCAAAAGCCTAGGGTGATTATAATGCTAGTTAAGGCTGGGGCACCTGTTGACCAAACCATTAAGACCCTGTCTGCGTTCATGGAAAAAGGTGACTGTATAATTGATGGTGGCAATGAATGGTATGAGAACACTGAAAGAAGAGAGAAAGCAGTGGCTGAATTGGGTTTGCTCTACCTTGGGATGGGAGTTTCTGGTGGTGAGGAAGGTGCTCGTAATGGTCCTTCTTTGATGCCTGGTGGTTCGTTTGAAGCTTTCAAATACATAGAAGATATTCTTCTCAAGGTGGCAGCTCAAGTCCCTGATAGTGGTCCTTGCGTGACATATATTGGTAAAGGTGGTTCTGGTAATTTTGTGAAGATGATTCACAATGGTATTGAATATGGTGATATGCAGCTGATTGCAGAGGCTTATGATGTGCTGAAGTCAGTTGGAAAGTTGTCAAATGAGGAACTACAGAGTGTCTTCTCAGAATGGAACAAAGGTGAACTTCTGAGTTTCCTGATTGAAATCACTGCAGATATATTTGGAATTAAGGATGATAAAGGAGATGGATATCTTGTTGACAAAGTTCTAGACAAGACTGGCATGAAGGGTACTGGTAAGTGGACTGTTCAGCAAGCTGCTGAATTATCAGTTGCTGCTCCTACTATTGAAGCGTCGTTGGATGCTAGGTTTCTGAGTGGGTTGAAGGAGGAAAGAGTGGAAGCTGCAAAAGTCTTTAAATCAGGTGGCTTTGGTGATATTGTGACCGATCATCCTATAGACAAGCAGCAGTTGATTGATGATGTTAGGAAGGCTCTTTATGCAGCCAAAATCTGTAGTTATGCACAGGGAATGAATCTGATCCGTGCAAAGAGTATCGAACAGGGATGGGATTTGAAGTTGGGTGAACTGGCCCGAATTTGGAAAGGGGGTTGCATCATTAGGGCTATATTCTTAGACAGAATCAAGCAGGCATATGATAGAAACCCTAATCTGGCAAACCTTCTTGTTGATCCAGAGTTTGCAAAGGAGATAATTGATCGCCAATCTGCCTGGAGGAGAGTTGTTTGCCTTGCTATCAATTCTGGTATCAGCACTCCAGGTATGTCTGCTAGTCTTGCTTATTTTGACACTTACAGAAGGGAAAGGTTGCCTGCTAATTTGGTGCAAGCTCAGCGTGACTACTTTGGAGCTCATACATATGAAAGGGTTGACATAGAGGGGTCTTACCATACTGAGTGGTTCAAGCTTGCCAAACAGTCAAGAATTTAGATCACTTTGTTTGAGCCCGTGAGGATTTCTAATAAATGTAATGTTTTCTGCTCAGACTGTGTGCTGAGTTGAGTTTACATAGCCACTATGTGGTGAAGTGTTATTATTAGATTATTTCCAACTGAATTGCTTGATATTCCATTCTCCAACAACAATGTTGTATCTTTGCTGATTGTGCTTTGTGCTTGATACAAAATTGTTCCCAGTTCCTGATGCCTTTTTAATTTTCATATTAACAAGTTTTCCTTTAACACCATCGATGTATGTTATGTTACAGTAGGAGTCGAAATATTTTATTTCGTAGTTAACTTAATGTGTTTGATGTTCATTTATTTGTCAAGAGCGATCAAGTTTGGTCAGTTAGAGAATATTTAAAATGTCAGTAGTAGATTATGTTAGAATATCTCTCTTGATTTATTCAGGTTTTGGTTTTATTATTCGTGGGCTTAGGCTTGTACTTCAAGTACTATTGCTAAACCTAATTATTAGTAGAAGTATCAGTACTTGCTTATCCAAATTGAAGATATCTTTTTTTTAATTAAATTGAGTTTTCTTTCTATCTTTTTTTCCTTGATCCTTAACTTATGTTGTTTAACATACATTATCTTTTGATTACATGTTGTCACTTGTCACATCATTGAGATTCTCAGAGGTCAATAGCTTTTAGTGTTATGGCAACATATATTGAATGATAACGAAAAATGGATCTAAATAAAATCCTTATTTACTCTGACTTTGTTGTATACAAACCTTACATAGCTAATGTGAACCCCATATTAGTGGGAATAGTGTTTTCTCAAGCCAACTTAAAATTTTTCATTTTTTTTAGTTTATGATTCAACAGTTCAATTTTTGGTTCAGATAGGCAATCGGCATCGATTAATCAATGTAACTGGCCCCCGTTAGAAGGAGTATTGGTTTTTCTTACTATATTTTCTACTTTAAATCTCTAATAATTGAAGACTTTTGGAATTGCATACTTGTGTAGGTTGACACATTTTTATTTTGTTGTAGCTTGCCCCACAGATAAAGACAAATGAAAATCTGGCTTGCACAGGTGTTGAGCTCTTTTTCCCTCCCATTTCCTCCACTTACTCCTTGTGTTTGAAGAAGTTAGATGCGACTGGAGTAACATGCAAATTCCTACTCTTTTTTATGCTCCATAGAAAAATGCATACATTTACTTTTTCTTTCTTTTCCCGTTTGTTGGGTTTGAGGTTAGAATTTACACTTTCGTGACATTTTATGTCAGGCCTTACCTACCTAATTGATCTGTTCAACCAGAAAATCAATGTATTGATCAAGTGTTTGCTCTGTTTAATCCAAATAACCATCATATTGTAAAACCTGTGGGGAACTGGTCAAGGTGCAGGGCAGAACTTGTTTCATTTTTTATTTAACTAAAAATAATTTTCGTCAAACAAAGGCCCATTGTTGTTGTTTTGTTACAAAGGTTCATACACGAGGTTCACATATAAATTGTTATTATTACCTTATTATTAAATTTTCACGTTACATTTGGCTTTAGTTTAAAAATGTTATCTGACTTGTATTTTTTATGACTTACTTGAAGTGAAGATCATTTAAATTTAACATTGAAAAAAATATGAAATTGTGACTAAATTTTACAATGGTCGAAGTTATCAATCTTGAATCAGTGTCTTGAAATGGTAACTGATATTTTGAAACACTATTTAGGAGTGGTTGAACTTTCCTTTTAGTTAGTTTACATATGGCCTTTTTTTTACATTTCCATTTTCCTCTACATCTTTCTTGTATTTGAGCTAGTGGTTAGAAGTAACTGTGAACTCATTTTTTCTTTGACATTTTCGTTTCTCTCTGAACTTCTTGGCTTTTGTTTCATTTTCTTTGAAGTCTTCAGTGTCAATAATGAACTCAATGATTGAGAAGCCCATAATGATTTTTTCAATAATGAGCTCAATGATTGAAAAGCCTTTAATGTTTCTTGGCTGAATCACGGATTGGCTCAATTCATGTGCAACTTTTACAAATAATTTCTTGCCGCAATTCTTGTTATTTAGAATTAAAGGCATTGAATTGAAGAAAGTTACGAATTTGAATCATGTTATTTTATAGGATCTCTGGTTTTACACATCATTCATTACCTTTGCCTGCGTTACTTGCTGTCAATTGATATGCAAGAATCTATTCAAATCAGAAAGTGATATTGCAAGTGGTGACAAACCATTTGAGTATTTAAAAATAGCTTATAGACTCTGAAAAGTGACAAAGTTCAGGGTGAATGATATGTAATACTTCTCATGGAAACTTTATAATTCCAGACCCTGATGCTATCAAAATTTCCTTTGAAGTTCTAAAGTAGCAGTTATTGATATTATAAATGGGAAATATAAAAATCAGTTACAATTAATGTTTCAAGTTAACAAAGACTCACTTCCCTTTGTTTTCCTTCTTTGCTAAAACGTGGACAAAAGAGAAAAAATCTCTTTTCTATCTTCTAAAAAAAATACTCTAGCAATTGATTTTATACGAGTGTGAGCTTTTATGATTCCTTTCAAGTCATGTGTTCCCTCATGTTTTTATGTCACTCATACAGCCTAAAACTTGTGATTGCCTTGCTGTTGCATTCGTGTCCAATCTTTGGAAAGGTTAGTTCACATAACCAGCCAATGCCCTGTCACTGCAACAAAGCTTTAATTGCTTATAGTTGTCATCTGTGTAACTATGTGAAACCTTACCATCTTTCCAGCGGAGCATACCCCATTCGTGCTGCATAGCATTTGGCAGCACAGACACATGCATGCACGAATCATTATTGGAAGGTTTTTGATAGAAAATATTTTCTCCCTTTTGTGCTATTATCCTCGATCTTTTGGCCACATCTCTAACTGCCCCCAGGCCACTTTTCTTGTGTCATGTTTCTTGTTTCTTCTGTCAACCAGCTCAATACAACTTTTGCGTGCGTAATCATCAAGAGAGTTTCAGGTTGGAATTCAAAAATCTTGCAGCATTTTTTACCACTACATTATTTAGTTTTGGAAATTTCACAATTATGTTTTTCAACTAAAACGTCCTTTCACTCTTAATTAAGCTGTGTTTTGCATCAATGATGATGTCTTGATGGATGACCAGACGTCTGGCATCAATTTTTACTTTGAACTGAGGTAAAAAAAAAAAAAAGTATACCTAAAGTTGGAGTTACATGATAGAAGATTTGACTCTTATCTAGAATTCCTACCTCCTTGAACTTGGAAGATAAAACCATCAATTATTTTTCAGGAAAACTAGTGTTATTTGGCTTGAATACCACTGATAATGCTTCATTTCAAGCACATTTCTGGTGTGTTTCTCATGGCTCATGCATTCATCCTCTCACATGGAAGTTTGTTTCCACATTCAAAGAATAATAACGTTCAACATAGAGTTTAGGTTCAAAACACGTAAAACTTATGATTCCATTACTTCAAAGAATGTTTCGGGATATTTCCTTTGGGTAGAAGAGATGTGTGAGTACAAATCAACAAATTCAAATTATGTCGATGCATGGTTACAAAAATCCCTCAGCATCATATACAATGGAGATTTTAATCATTTTTTACTTCTGCTATCAACACGTTTCTTCTCCTGTTTGCTTGCATTCTTCTTAGAACACTTGCTTCCATGATCTTGTTTATCTTTCTTAGATGCCGAGGTGCCGTGACTAGTCTGGCTATGACCATAGGCATGGTGATAATGTACAGGACCTGAAGAAGCATCTGAAGCCATTGAATCATCACTTTCTTCTTCATCTACTTTGGCCCCTTGCTTCTTTCTCCTGTTGTCACCATAGATGTCATGATTTCCATAATTTTCATTGCTGCATCCAGCATCATCTTCCTGCATGGGAGAGGCAATATACATAGTCCAACCAGATTCACTACTGCTACATCCTTCTGCACTACCCCAGATTTGTTTAAAAGAATCCATTCTGAGGCAGGAAAGCTGTGTGTATGCCAATTCAAAGCAAAAACAACACACAGGGGAACAAAGAATGAGAATCTATAGCTGATGAATGAAAATCTACATGGAACTTACATTAATAGAGATTCGTAGATAGATTGCTTGATATCTGCTTATCTGTTTCAACTGCAAAAAGTGTGGTAAAGGGCCAAAAAGGTTCTGAAGTGAAATGGTAGATGCACTGTGTGCTTGCCAAGGGCTTAAATTCAAGGAGGAGCCAGGAAGGTTCCTAATACATCTTAAAATAATTTCAAAGCATCAATTAAACAAAGGGAATGTTGGGACTGCCATCTTTGGTCATAAGAAGTATCTATAAATAATATTTTTTTAACCTCTGCCTTTCCCATCTTAAATAGGACTCTGACTTTTATTGCATAATACAGATGTCCCAATAGCACAATGTGCACAACTGGAGGGAATGTAAAATCCCTGTCTTTCAATATGCTTTATTAAGTGCCTTTTCACTTTGTGTGTATCCATCATTGCATCAAATTCTTTGTCTTGTCTGTAGAACACAGGCCAATCTATCTCTCATAACATGTGTTTTTTCTATTATAGTTTTATTAGTATGGACTGTTTTCTTCTTCACCAATCCTTGTAGACAATATGACTCATATTTTTAAGACCATATTTACAGAGATCGAATTCACTTTCACTCTAACTGATAAACTATTTGCTGATCTATATAGGTGCGTGTTTGTGTAAGTATCTTATATTATGTATGAAGCATAAAGTTGGTACCCTTTGAAACGAGAAGCTGAGCAGTCTTTTTTAATGAACATTGATTAGTTTTCAAATTTATACTTAAACTCCAATATAATATGATGGCAGGTCGTTGTTGGTAAAGGGTTGTTGGCTAAACTAGTTTAGGTGTGATGTGATCGTGCTAACCACAAAGTTAGACCACGTAGAAGACATACTCAGTTTGGTCTAATGGAAAACGGAATTGCTTCTTTTATGGCAAATCTTGATAATCAAAAAACAAATCAATGAATTACAATATACATCAAAAGTCTCTAAGTTTGATACGAGTGTGTGACACATAAACCTCTTTTATGTTTTAAAATTTAATAAGTTAAATACGTATTTAGTTCATAAACTTTTAACCTTAAATTAAAATATTAAAATATTAAAATTTTTGGATGTTTGATATAGTCTAATCTTCAAACTTTAAAATTAAATATATATACTTTTTTTAATCTAATGACATTACATTTTTTTTTTACTTATTCATTCAAATATCAATTTAAAACTGATTTTAAATTTTAAAAATAAATAGATATAATTTTTTAATTTAATTACATTAACTTTTTTTATTATTAACTCAAATACCAACCTAGAATATCCTTTAACATATAAAAGAAAAGTTGATGTTCTTGAGTTAAAAAAACTGTATTTATTTAATTTTAAATTTTGAAAATGAAAATATATCAAAATTTGAAAAAAAAATTAAATTCGCAACTATATTTAAAAATTAAAAACATATTTAATTATAAACTTTAAATTTTAACATCAATTAAACCTACTAAACCTACTAAAATGATTTTTCACACGTATTAATTAACAGAAACTTGTTTAGCTAGACGACTGAAGAAGGTTTGTAAGGCTGTAGGTGGGAAAATGAAGAACAAATTGTAGGTTAAATTATTTGGGTAGGATAGGGAACAGACCTATCTTATATATAGGTTTTGGGAAATCCTATATAAGTTTTTTTATTCTTTTCATAATATTATATGGATTACGTTTACTAACTAACTGTTGCCACAAATAGTTTATATTAAAATTGTAAAAGCAGTTTGCCATTTGAGCTGGACTCTTGAGCGGTTATGTTACTCTTTTATTTCAGTCCGAATACATTTTAGTTAACAGAAAGAATTGTTAATATATATTTATATATACACACACACACACTTTTTTTTTTTGTTTTTTTAATTTTCACTAAAGATATTCTTAAAGAATAGTCAGTTTTTCCCACATATAATCAAGAATCAAATGTTGAATTAGTCATCTGAAAAAGATTAAGATTTTAGAAATCTGATTTCTACTATTGTAACACTTTTCCAGAACAAGATTGCTTGTTGAAAGCTCTTAAGAGTATTATTATTACTATTATATATTATTATGATATTTTATATTATTATTATTATTGTTATTACAATTACTATATAATTCTCCCAAAGGTCATATGGTTTCCTTGAACCATAACTCCACTAAATTACACCAAGACAAGTAATTTTTTTCAATTGAGCTTAACCGCTACAATAGCGAGTGCTAAAAAACAAGAACATGACCTGGATAAACCATTTCAAGTGCAAGATAGGTTAAGGAGAAAAGTCCAGAAGTAAGGGAAAAACTAAAAACCAAGTGTAGAAATCAAGAACCAAAATGATAAAAACTAGAAAATCCAAAAGGAAAAACTCTATAAAAGCTGCACAAATAAATTATAAACAATTTTTAACAGATAATATATACATACATATGCCACTAAGAATGGATAATGCTCAACAATTCACTCTAGATTGTGTTCACGTAAGACTCAAACTACTTTTGAGTAACAACTATGACAGCCAAACCCATTCAATAACTTTTGATTGAACAAAAGTAATACAGAATTACACTTAGGCGGTAAGCAGCACTGTGAAGTATTCTCGTGAGTCGTGACCAATCAATGTACCATTGCAGATGCAAAACAACCTAAACTGTGAATATTATCGCTACAGTAGTGAGATATTGAAGTCCAAGGCTAATCAACCACATGATTGGAAGGGCTTGAGAATGGGGCGATTAGTTAATTGATATACATGTATAGAAACTCAATAGAAACGAACGTAGAAAATTTACTTTATAAGGAAAACGATTGGGCAAGATATGGGCGAAAAGAAGGCATTATCATAATTTTTCTATGACAAAGGTGACATGATACAAAGCAGATCATTTCAAGGCCCCCCACAAGGAGATACCTGGGAGAAAGACAAAGGTATGATCTACCACTTTTACAACAACTTATCAATCAAACGTTTCTTTACGCTTTTCTCTGTGCCTCTCTGGAACTAACCTACACAAAAAGGAGAACCTCGTCAATAAAGGACGAAGGCATAAAGAAAACACACCGACTTAAACTGCAGTACTGGAGCAATACGTATCAAAAAAAGACCCAAAAAGACAAACTACAACCAGCACTTCTGTAAAGTGCAGCCTGAATGGAAAAAGGTAAGTAAAGCAGATGCAAAAACTTATTCTCCTTATTATGGTGAAAACATCTAAAATCATTTAATTTAACAATGCCAACATGCCTGAATGGAAATTTTTCAATACCAGAGGACAAATTTTTTTGGTATAAGATACACTGAAGTATTATTTTATCAATGCATGCATCGCTTGAAGTTCTTGGGATATATATAATTATTTTGGACATCCCTGCCAATTCAGTAATTGTTGACACAGATCAGATCATAAGGAATTGTTTCCGAACCAATTCAGAAAATCATAACAAGGATCATGACATTGTCCCTAAATTGTCAAAATTGTTCTCTCCTTCATAATTCCCACTCTTTCCCATCTCTCAGCTAATGAAAATGAGCATCCCTCTAAAGTCATTTGCTGCCCTAATCTCTGCCGTGGAATCATCCATTATTTCTTTTTATACTTCAATGTGTCAAACAGCAAGGTCATGAGACTAACAATGTGTCAAACAGCAAGGCCACGAGACCAAAATTACTTCAATGTTGGCGTGCTCATTCACATTCTTGACTTACTATACTTTGTTGTTAAGATCATGACACCAAAAACACTTCAAAGTGGTAAGGTAAATCTCATTCTTCACCTTGTAATCAATAGTCTTGCACATAGAGGAAGACCGCAAATATGCCTAGTACATGGATTAATAAACTTACATATTGGTGTTGCAGTTTCACCAACTTAAGCATGGAGCTAACCAGCAAATATGCCTAATACTAATTACCTACAATCCGTAGACTATAATGGTGGCAAAGGGTCTTACATGGACAGACAGATGTAGCAGTCGAATTGTGTTTGGGACCACCAATATATCAAGAGACCGACATATTGGCAATAGGCTTTAAGGTGCTTAAAGAAGCTATGTCTACTTGAAGAGAATGGAAATTAATAGAAAGAAATAAAAAGAAAATATACACAATTTAGACCAATTACTTCTAAATCAAATTTTATTTTGTGATAAAAGCAAACAATGCAATAAATAATGTAAAATCAGGATGCAACCAGCTTTATAACTATTTCTTTATGAATTAAGTAGTAAACTTCAATTCACAAGTATGAATAAAGGCCTTCCAATACACATTTTGAATTTCAATGGTAACAAAATATGAGCCTTAAGCTGTTCATTAATTGACAACAGAATTACCAAGGCCAAGTTGTTGATCTTTCCAGAAAGATGATAACTACTAACACTAATCAAGCACAAAAGATGAAAACATAAAATAATAATAACAAAACATGGTTAGGGAATAGATGATGGCACCTTAAGTCATCGCCTAGATCTATTCCTGCAGCAGCGAAACTCGGATAACAGCTATATGATCAGAGGACCATTCAGGAGAAGGACGTGTTGTGTCTTTCCTCAAACTCTCCTCATCCAATAGCTCCAACAATGACTCCACAACCAATGAATCCGCTGAAACCACAAAAAGACGTCACTTCATAACAAATGACCAGGATGTTAAGTTGATCAAATTAATAACATCATTGCAAGATATCACACCTGTGTAAAACATGTAATCTAGAGAGCCAATAAAATCTCTGGTTACATTAGTGAATAAAGGTTCATTTGTTACATTGTCTAGTCTCCGTTTATGCTGCTCAAATCCAAGACCAACTGTTCTTGCAAAGGATGAATAAGCACTGACCTAAAATTGAGATGAATCCACAGCCAGGAAGCAAAAAAATCAACTAAAATCAGGAACCACCATTTTGGGGAAAATACATAATATATAAGCAATTCTTCAATACATTACCAGTGGCAACTGATGAACCAACTTGCTGTGAGGACGCAATATATTAAGTGGGTCACCAGCTAAATCAGGATGGGATGGGTCTACCTTTCCCATTGCAAGAAGTGCATGAGGAGCACTACAGAAAAATAAGAATATAAATTTAAGAAACAAATTATTGACAATAATAAAAGACCCTTGCAGAAGAAACAAATAATATAACCAGAAAGTAAACAGACCTTCCTGGAACTGAATTAAAGTCTCCACAAACCAACATTGGAATGTCTGCACTAGCAGCAATTTTCTCCAAATCCTTTCAAAAGAGCGTGCACCTAAAAAGAAGAGGAAATTCATAAGTGTCATGTTCCAAATAAGCACACTATTCAATATGATGAAGCAAAAGAAATAACTTACCTGCCAAAGTTTGACATCCTTTAAATCTTGATGAACATTTACATGTGTACTTGCCTAAAATCCACTAGCAATATATGACTAAGTAATAGAGATTGTGTTACTAAAAAGGTAATTTAACCCAAACTCACAGAAAGGGACGAGTGAAATATTGCATACCTTTATGAGAAATAAAGAAATAGATGCAATGATGATTTAAAAAAAAAAACAAAACTAAACCATACAAACATTACATTAAACATTTAGACTTAATTTATGTAAAAAGAAAATCAAGAGTTCTTGTATCAGAACAACCATCATCCTAAAAATAATAAAGCAAAAGCTGCTTAAGACAAAAAGCCATAAACAGATATTACAAAATGAACTGTTATAACAATGTATGACTAAGAAGAGAGCACCCTGGAAAACAAAAAGGCGTACAACATAGATATAAAGTATACATCATGGACCTTGACGGTAAGCGAATGCAAGACCATCTTGGTTGAAACAAATAAAGAAAAATTAAGAGTTTACCACGCAAAGAAGTTGTCTTTTCCCAGGATTGTCAACAGGCTGGTTAACTTTTGCTTCTAAAACAACTATTAATGCAACATTATCCTAAGAATGTATAGAAATCTTGGTAAGGACTACACAATAAGAGAATCATTATTTCAAAGTAACATGCAATCTTTAGTGCAATAAGCTACCTTAACCAGTCTATTCAAGACAGTTTTTTTCTTTGTGGTTGAAATCACAGCATCTGTTAAAGACTGTGCAGCCTTATTAAATTCAACCTGTAAACAAGCAGATATCCCTTTATGTTGTGTACAAACCAAAGAGAACTGGCATACACTGATAATAAAATTTCTAGATACATTAGTGAATAAAGGTTCATTTGTTACATTGTCTAGTCTCTGTTTATGGTACTCTCAACCATATTTCAAAATCCGATGATTACTGAAACTTTTTAACCTACATCTTTTGAAATCTGTTGAATACTTTTATCAGTGTACACAGTTGGTTGCTACTTAATATCACGAAGTGTCTAACGTAAAAGAACTATGTTCCCTTTTCCCAGTTATGTGAACAACTATAAAATAGCACGACAAATATCAGAGTTCAAAATTTGTCAAAAAGCACATCGAATCAACCTAAAGCAGAGACGCAACTGCAAATGATCATCTGGCTTCCATGAATCTTTAAAGTTTATAAAGAAAATAGCCCCATCCACAAAACATTGCTAGAAAACAGAATGGGATTTCTACTCTACAGCTGAACTTTTAAGTTCAGATCTAATTTATTTTCAAGGTTCAGATAGACAATAAATAGGACAACAATAAATAGGACAAACAGAGGGCTTGAGTTAACAATGTTCCACTATTAGTAAGGAGCAGAGATACTAACCGGAGGAGGAAATAAATTATCTTTAAACAGAATGCACGATACTCGTATCATTCAAACAGAATTCAGCACCAAAAAACTTATTCACTAGCTTCACCCTTGCAGAGTTCATCACTCGATTCACCCTCATAGAGTTCATCACTCGTTTCAACCTCTTCCTCCCCGGATTCCTCACTTCTTAGCTCATCATTCTTGACCAACGAATTGTTGTCGTCACGTTTCAATGACCCATCCCCGCGGTAGAGAAGCCCCGTCTGCATGACACGGTAGAACTTATNTGCAAAACAACCTAAACTGTGAATATTATCGCTACAGTAGTGAGATATTGAAGTCCAAGGCTAATCAACCACATGATTGGAAGGGCTTGAGAATGGGGCGATTAGTTAATTGATATACATGTATAGAAACTCAATAGAAACGAACGTAGAAAATTTACTTTATAAGGAAAACGATTGGGCAAGATATGGGCGAAAAGAAGGCATTATCATAATTTTTCTATGACAAAGGTGACATGATACAAAGCAGATCATTTCAAGGCCCCCCACAAGGAGATACCTGGGAGAAAGACAAAGGTATGATCTACCACTTTTACAACAACTTATCAATCAAACGTTTCTTTACGCTTTTCTCTGTGCCTCTCTGGAACTGACCTACACAAAAAGGAGAACCTCGTCAATAAAGGACGAAGGCATAAAGAAAACACACCGACTTAAACTGCAGTACTGGAGCAATACGTATCAAAAGACCCAAAAAGACAAACTACAACCAGCACTTCTGTAAAGTGCAGCCTGAATGGAAAAAGGTAAGTAAAGCAGATGCAAAAACTTATTCTCCTTATTATGGTGAAAACATCTAAAATCATTTAATTTAACAATGCCAACATGCCTGAATGGAAATTTTTCAATACCAGAGGACAAATTTTTTTGGTATAAGATACACTGAAGTATTATTTTATCAATGCATGCATCGCTTGAAGTTCTTGGGATATATATAATTATTTTGGACATCCCTGCAAATTCAGTAATTGTTGACACAGATCAGATCATAAGGAATTGTTTCCGAACCAATTCAGAAAATCATAACAAGGATCATGACATTGTCCCTAAATTGTCAAAATTGTTCTCTCCTTCATAATTCCCACTCTTTCCCATCTCTCAGCTAATGAAAATGAGCATCCCTCTAAAGTCATTTGCTGCCCTAATCTCTGCCGTGGAATCATCCATTATTTCTTTTTATACTTCAATGTGTCAAACAGCAAGGTCATGAGACTAACAATGTGTCAAACAGCAAGGCCACGAGACCAAAATTACTTCAATGTTGGCGTGCTCATTCACATTCTTGACTTACTATACTTTGTTGTTAAGATCATGACACCAAAAACACTTCAAAGTGGTAAGGTAAATCTCATTCTTCACCTTGTAATCAATAGTCTTGCACATAGAGGAAGACCGCAAATATGCCTAGTACATGGATTAATAAACTTACATATTGGTGTTGCAGTTTCACCAACTTAAGCATGGAGCTAACCAGCAAATATGCCTAATAATAATTACCTACAATCCGTAGACTATAATGGTGGCAAAGGATCTTACATGGACAGACAGATGTAGCAGTCGAATTGTGTTTGGGACCACCAATATATCAAGAGACCGACATATTGGCAATAGGCTTTAAGGTGCTTAAAGAAGCTATGTCTACTTGAAGAGAATGGAAATTAATAGAAAGAAATAAAAAGAAAATATACACAATTTAGACCAATTACTTCTAAATCAAATTTTATTTTGTGATAAAAGCAAACAATGCAATAAATAATGTAAAATCAGGATGCAACCAGCTTTATAACTATTTCTTTATGAATTAAGTAGTAAACTTCAATTCACAAGTATGAATAAAGGCCTTCCAATACACATTTTGAATTTCAATGGTAACAAAATATGAGCCTTAAGCTGTTCATTAATTGACAACAGAATTACCAAGGCCAAGTTGTTGATCTTTCCAGAAAGATGATAACTACTAACACTAATCAAGCACAAAAGAAGAAAACATAAAATAATAATAACAAAACATGGTTAGGGAATAGATGATGGCACCTTAAGTCATCGCCTAGATCTATTCCTGCAGCAGCGAAACTCGGATAACAGCTATATGATCAGAGGACCATTCAGGAGAAGGAAGTGTTGTGTCTTTCCTCAAACTCTCCTCATCCAATAGCTCCAACAATGACTCCACAACCAATGAATCCGCTGAAACCACAAAAAGACGTCACTTCATAACAAATGACCAGGATGTTAAGTTGATCAAATTAATAACATCATTGCAAGATATCACACCTGTGTAAAACATGTAATCTAGAGAGCCAATAAAATCTCTGGTTACATTAGTGAATAAAGGTTCATTTGTTACATTGTCTAGTCTCCGTTTATGCTGCTCAAATCCAAGACCAACTGTTCTTGCAAAGGATGAATAAGCACTGACCTAAAATTGAGATGAATCCACAGCCAGGAAGCAAAAAAATCAACTAAAATCAGGAACCACCATTTTGGGGAAAATACATAATATATAAGCAATTCTTCAATACATTACCAGTGGCAACTGATGAACCAACTTGCTGTGAGGACGCAATATATTAAGTGGGTCAACAGCTAAATCAGGATGGGATGAGTCTACCTTTCCCATTGCAAGAAGTGCATGAGGAGCACTACAGAAAAATAAGAATATAAATTTAAGAAACAAATTATTGACAATAATAAAAGACCCTTGCAGAAGAAACAAATAATATAACCAGAAAGTAAACAGACCTTCCTGGAACTGAATTAAAGTCTCCACAAACCAACATTGGAATGTCTGCACTAGCAGCAATTTTCTCCAAATCCTTTCAAAAGAGCGTGCACCTAAAAAGAAGAGGAAATTCATAAGTGTCATGTTCCAAATAAGCACACTATTCAATATGATGAAGCAAAAGAAATAACTTACCTGCCAAAGTTTGACATCCTTTAAATCTTGATGAACATTTACATGTGTACTTGCCTAAAATCCACTAGCAATATATGACTAAGTAATAGAGATTGTGTTACTAAAAAGGTAATTTAACCCAAACTCACAGAAAGGGACGAGTGAAATATTGCATACCTTTATGAGAAATAAAGAAATAGATGCAATGATGATTTAAAAAAAAAAACAAAACTAAACCATACAAACATTACATTAAACATTTAGACTTAATTTATGTAAAAAGAAAATCAAGAGTTCTTGTATCAGAACAACCATCATCCTAAAAATAATAAAGCAAAAGCTGCTTAAGACAAAAAGCCATAAACAGATATTACAAAATGAACTGTTATAACAATGCATGACTAAGAAGAGAGCACCCTGGAAAACAAAAAGGCGTACAACATAGATATAAAGTATGGACCTTGATGGTAAGCGTATGCAAGACCATCTTGGTTGAAACAAATAAAGAAAAATTAAGAGTTTACCACGCAAAGAAGATGTCTTTTCCCAGGATTGTCAACAGGCTGGTTAACTTTTGCTTCTAAAACAACTATTAATGCAACATTATCCTAAGAATGAATAGAAAACTTGGTAAGGACTACACAATAAGAGAATCATTATTTCAAAGTAACATGCAATCTTTAGTGCAATAAGCTACCTTAACCAGTCTATTCAAGACAGTTTTCTAAGAGGTTGAAATCACAGCATCTGTTAAAGACTGTGCAGCCTTATTAAATTCAACCTGTAAACAAGCAGATATCCCTTTATGTTGTGTACAAACCAAAGAGAACTGGCATACACTGATACACACAAAAATTTCAACCTCGTATTTTTTCACAATAGCTCCAATAAATGACTCCACAACCAATTAATCCGCTGAAACCACAAAAAGACGTCAATTCATAAACTGTAAACAAATGACCACGATGTTAAGTTGATAAATTGATAACATCATTGCAAGGTATCACACCTGTGTAAAATATGTAATCTAGAGAGCCAATAAAATTTCTAGATACATTAGTGAATAAAGGTTCATTTGTTACATTGTCTAGTCTCTGTTTATGGTACTCTCAACCATATTTCAAAATCCGATGATTACTGAAACTTTTTAACCTACATCTTTTGAAATCTGTTGAATACTTTTATCAGTGTACACAGTTGGTTGCTACTTAATATCACGAAGTGTCTAACGTAAAAGAACTATGTTCCCTTTTCCCAGTTATGTGAACAACTATAAAATAGCACGACAAATATCAGAGTTCAAAATTTGTCAAAAAGCACATCGAATCAACCTAAAGCAGAGACGCAACTGCAAATGATCATCTGGCTTCCATGAATCTTTAAAGTTTATAAAGAAAATAGCCCCATCCACAAAACATTGCTAGAAAACAGAATGGGATTTCTACTCTACAGCTGAACTTTTAAGTTCAGATCTAATTTATTTTCAAGGTTCAGATAGACAATAAATAGGACAACAATAAATAGGACAAACAGAGGGCTTGAGTTAACAATGTTCCACTATTAGTAAGGAGCAGAGATACTAACCGGAGGAGGAAATAAATTATCTTTAAACAGAATGCACGATACTCGTATCATTCAAACAGAATTCAGCACCAAAAAACTTATTCACTAGCTTCACCCTTGCAGAGTTCATCACTCGATTCACCCTCATAGAGTTCATCACTCGTTTCAACCTCTTCCTCCCCGGATTCCTCACTTCTTAGCTCATCATTCTTGACCAACGAATTGTTGTCGTCACGTTTCAATGACCCATCCCCGCGGTAGAGAAGCCCCGTCTGCATGACACAGTAGAACTTATCTCTATGTCGGACAAGAGGGTGCGGGTCAACCAGTTTCCCACTCTGGTACCCTTCCCTGAGAGTAATAGTGGTCGTTTTACACTTCAATGAGAGGTAAAAGATGCCGGGATACCGGGTGAAAATCCGTGTAAACTTGTGCGGAAGATTCAACTCTTCCCTCAAGCCCCTCAAGTAGTTTCTCTTTGTTTTCTTGTGCAGAGTTAAACTCAAAAGTTCGTGCAGAACCCCAACCACGCGCTTCTCCATCAAATCGCTGTTGGGATCAATCTTGGAGGAATCAGCATAGGGAGAAACATAAGGCAGCTTCTGAAACTCCTCCATCCACGTCCTCACCTTCTTCTGCGCGCCGTAACCCCTTGGAAACTTCATCGGAAAAGCCAATGCAGATTGTCCCCGCTTGAATTCCCGGTAGTGGGTCCCACATTCGTTTATCTGTTGAAGCGCGGACACAGCGATTTCCTCAGGCC